AGGCCTGCTATCCCAAATTAAATTTAAATACATGATATAAAACTGAATTTTACTTGCCCACACCTCAAGGGTCAATCCATTAGAAGTGATCCAAAAAAAATTAGACTTGATATTTATAAAAAAAAATTAAAACTTTCTAAAAGGTTTTCTTTATGTATTAGGACTTTAAAACCATTTTTATAAAATTTTTATCTCAATAGTCTGATCAAATGGTGTTCAAAAGTGCCTGTTTTGTAACATGAGTACGGTAGAAGGTTTCTCAACGGAATTATGTGTTTTTTTGGGGTGCTGAACACGAATCTGAAGTTTGTTGCCTCGTAGCAGTGCCGCTTCAGGTTGAGAAACGCAAAAATCCTCGAAATTTTCGGAGTTTTTCTGGTTTTCCGCTCATATAATGGAAACGAAGCATCGTACGGTAAATGTCATTCTATTCAAAGTTGAAGAGCATAAAATTCTGCGTCGAAAAACCTCCCTAACTTTATTAGACAGATTTATAAGGTCGCCATCGTCAGTCGAAAAAAAGCCAATTTTTAGAAACTTGAAAAACTCGTAGAACAAAAGTTGTAAACCATCAAATTTTGCGTTCAGTGAGCATCGATATTAAATTTGGATCAGTATATACGCATATTACTGACCATTTCTTCATTTCCCTCTAAGCGCTTATTTGACCAATATGAAGGAGTTTCGCAAACTTTTGTGTAAACTGCAATAAACTCATTTTTAGACGACTGTGATTTGAAAACGGCCACTGTACGTGACAAGGTTGTAAAATTTAAGAGGTAAAGTTCAATTGAAGTCCACGTAAAATGCAGGAAGAATTATGTAACAGAAAAATCTATTGCTGCCTATTTGAATAGAGCTGCACAAAGTGTTCCCAGACAGACGCGTTCAAAAGAAAGGGACTTTCTTTTTAAAACTCACTGCTTTTTGTGCGGACATGAAGTGCCCGCAGACTACAATAAGAAACAGATAAAACATACTCCTGCAAAATACAATATGGTCTATCCTGTGAGAACATTTTCCATGAGAGAAACAGTGATGAAACTCGCGGAAGGTCGAAATGACGAATATGGGCAAAGTGTATTACGTCGTCTTCAGCAAGTTGACGATTTATGTGCAACTGATGTGCAGTACCATTTCTGCTGCATGAGAGATCTACACTGTGACGGCCCACCCCCTGCCCCTCTTTATATTTTGATTTTATTCGTTGTTTATTCTTTGAATGTTATTATTTACCTCACAAGTTTATTTTATTTTAAATTCTATACTTACTATATTTTTGGCCTTTTTCCTCTAGTAGTAAAAGTGATCGTCTAGTTAATTAATTGATAATTTATATACCCACGTTGTGATAATGTTAATTACGGTAAACCAGGATTCGATGCAAAGTTTGGTGCAAATTGATAAATAAAACATACAAATTCATATTTAAACTCCTTTTTATTTTTCATACTTTAAATGTGATGCAATAATTAGCAAATTATATTACAATTGTTACTATTTACTGAGATCTCACTTGAGTCCCGTTCAAACGCAGACCATATTCATTTGCTATCAATATATATTTTACTTAGGTTGATGACCAACAGAGTTAACGAACAGCGTCAATTCGCCAGTTGGTTAACTATTGAGTTGATGTTGATTTGATTCTATTCTAGATATATACAGGTTGCACCCTCTTAGGTAAATATTACGATGAGTATAGAGGTGATGACCAACGGAAGTAACAAACAGCGCCAATTCGCCAGTTGATTACCTTACTATGTTGATTTCACATATACTTTGTTTCAAACCTTGTAGAACGGGTTGCTTAGCGTATAGGTGTCCCCCCTTGAGCTAACGAACAGCGTATTCGCCAGTTGGTTAACTTACTATTAAATTTTACCATCTTGGTTTGTACAATTTATCCAAGATAGCACATCCCTGTATATCTCTAAAATATTGATCTTCATAATTTCTATTGAAAAGACTTAATACAACCCTGTATTTGTTTTAATATTGATTATTATAATTTTTATTGAAATAACTTAATACAACCCTGTATATTTCTTAATATTGATTTTTATAATTTCTATTAAAATACTCAAAATTTCACCCATCGAAAAACAGATATCTATCCTGCCTTTCGGGGTGTATGACCTGAAGGCCATGTGGTTTATTGATAATATTTTACAGCACATGTCAAGCCTGCCCTCAAACGAAACCCGGGTGGTATCTCAAAGAAAGGTACATAAATCTTTTGACTCACTACTGAAAATACAGACATTAGATTATCTACTAATTTCATCTAGCGTCATGGAAGGCGTCGATTTAGGTACGTCGCAGCATTGGGCGTCGAGGCGACTAGCGTCGTGGTGGAAAGGATGGTATTTAATACTGTTCTGTATTGGGACAGATATACGGTAGAATTATGTAGGCGTGGGACGTTGAGCGTCGAAATGAATGTACGGTAGGAAATACTTAGATGATGAGGAATGTGACAGCGTTCGAGACGTAGGGAGTAGGACGGCAGGACGTTGACACCTTCGGGGATAAGAGGTATTGTAGGATAGACGTCGTTTAGGAAGAGCGTTTTAGGAAAGGTACTGACTACTGAACTTGAAATATAACTGGATACAAATAATAAATGAATGCTTGTACATAATAAATGAATGCATGCACATCAAATAATTGAAAATGAATGACCCGAGCTCATTTTTGTCTGGCTTTTTATAATAAAAGTTTTAATGGCTTTGTGACGTCTCTGTCTTTGGTTCTCATAGAAATACTATGGGTGCAGGGGGTGGGTTATTTATTATGTGCCTTGAAAGTTTTGTGTATCGAAATATTGTCGAAATCGGCGAAACTAGCAAGATGAGCGAGTTAAGCGCTTTAACGATAATTACTTCGTGAAAGAAATAAGTTTTATGGTGTTTTCTTTGGGCTGGTTCTCAGAGACACGTGGATATATTACGGACGTGGTTATAGCTACTATTTATTAGGTGTCGTAAATAAGATTTAATTATCTGGGAGATTTTTCGTTAAATAAAGCATTTTGATATTTAATAAGAATGCAATATTATATTTAATAGATGGAATTAATAAATTATTAAGGTACCTGGGTGCGGTAGGTTACAACACCATGTCCCAAAATCAACTCAAACGGGCAAACGAGTCACTGATGAGGTTGAAGCTGCTATGCAATCAATTATTTCTTATCGAAAAAACAGTAATGTAGAATGTCAATTCACCATGGAGGAATTGATGGACCAGAAGGCGACTTTTGACCTTACCCGTCCACTGTCAGGAGGCACCTTCTTGAAAAGTTTGGTGACGATATTGTTGTCACATCAAAAACACCTTAGGTTGTTTGTTTCAAAGCCGAAAATAATTACTGACAATTGGTTTCGAGAGGTGGAGAAATTACCAGAAAAAGAGGAAAGGCGCCGCATAGCGAAGCAGCCGCTGCCATAGTTGTTGAAGATATCAGATCTTAAGTAAATGACGTGGTTATAGAGACTGTGGTACTAAACAAGAAGCGAGGGAATCTTGAGCAACGGAAGAAAAAATCACGATTGCATATACCTTGATTAGTGCAGTGAGGCCAATATATTTCCTTTCCCCTCTTCAAGTAGGTTTGGCAGCTTTTTTATACAAAAAATACGGATCGCAAAAACTGATTGATGTCCTGTCATCCCTCGGGTTTTGTGCAACATACAACGAAGCAACTCGATTTGAAGTGTCGTCAATAATGCGTCCTCCTCTGGCTATGAAGCAACAAGCCCTTTGTCAAATGGTATACGACAATGCTAATTTCAACATCCAAACTCTTTATGGAAGAACTACTTTTCATACAATGGGGAGCATCTGATGCCTCACCCCAAAAAGTGCTGTTGCCCCTGGTCAACACTTTGAGACAAATAATGATCACCGAACGCAAAATTTAATGCTTTACCACTTTTGTTCTACGAGTTTTTCACGTAGAGTGGCTGTTTTCACATCACAGATCTCTAAACGTGAGTTTCTTGCAATTTTCACAAAAGTTGCTATAAATTGGCTTTTTTCGACTGACGCTAGCGACCTTATAAATCGGTCCAATTTAAAAGGTAGGGAGGTTTTTCGGCGCAATTTTATGCTCTTTAACTTTGAATGGGACGATATTTTCCGTACGATGCATCGTTTGCATGATATGAGCGGAAAACCAGAAAAACTGACCTGAAGCGGCACTGCTACGAGGCAGCATACTTCATATTCGTGTTCAGCACCTCAAAAAACATATAATTCCGTTGAGAAACTTTCTACCGCTTTTATTTTACCGAAAAACTACCATTAGATTAGGCTACAAGCTCTTTGCGTTTGGCGGCCATTTTTGTTTCGCTGTTTTGTAAGTATTTGTCCTATAAGTTGAACTTAGCGCTTCATATATGTTGTCGGTAATGGCACCTAGAATATTTTACAAACATAAAATGAAAAACCGATTTTTGGCACTTAGCCCATTATTTAATTCAAGCCTTCAAATACTTTCCGAGTTATGAATTATTTTGTAAAATTGCAAAAATAGACGTGCGCAGCGAAACAAAAATGAACGGAAAAGGGCTCATGATAAAATTTTTATAAAAATGGTTTTAAAGTCCTAAGCCAAAAGGGAAACATTATTCATCATTTTTTTTTAGTGGTCAAGCAGCCTACCTTGGATCACTTCATATGAATTGACACTCAAACAAATATTTTGACAAACTCACCTATCCATATCATCTGCAACAATTTTAATAGATATGCAGCCGAATTAAATTTGGACATAAAATTTGAATCTTTAACAAGTATTAAATGCAAAATTAACGAATGCTTACTTAGTTAATCCATTTTTAGTTTTTAGAACCAATTTGCATATGTGAAGCACAAAGCGATTAATTAAATTAATTTCTTTAGATTAGTCATATGTATTTATTGTAGTACAATTTTGTATGTATCCTCTAATTGGGGTTAGCCAGTTTGGACGATAAAATATTTTTTATTTCCAGTATGGAAGGAAAGACATCGAAACAGCACAAAAGAACCGAAAATTGGAAAACAACGAAGACATCGACGAAGGTTACAGTGAGGAAATAACATCGCCGGAAAAAAATACGGAAAACTGTCCCCCGTTATCCAATGGCTCGGCGAACGGTGGTAGTAGGGGTAACACCGTCATCGACAGGGACGAAAACTTGGTTTTCGTACCCGAACCCCCACAGAATAAGACTGAAGAGAAGACGTCGGAGGATGTTATTTTGGAACCCAAAGTAAGTTATGTCGTTTTTTAACCTTGATTCGTACACGGGGTGGTTTTTTTTAGAAGGGTCCGCTTTGAATGTATCAAAATATAAAGCTGTCTTAAAAAAAAAACGCGTCAATTTTTATTGAGAAAGTGACATCTTTCTATTATATCCTCAACTTCCAAATAGCACAAATCTGCCGTATGTGCCGAGACTGGATCGCGCAATCACTTGCTTCAGTAGCAGGCGCCTTATCCATTACACTACATTTGCTCGATGATAGTATTCACCAAACGGTGTATATACTATAAATTCTATATTTTTGAAATATTTCGAGTGAGTTTTTAAAAAACCATCCTTTGCAGTTCCGTTTCGAAAATGGTTATTATTTTTTTTCAGGAGAAGTACAAGGACTTCGAATTGTCCAACGTGTTCGATTACGTCAAAGTAGGCGTAGAGGCGATCATCGAAGACGATGTCACGTCCAGATTCGAGGCTGAGGAATTAAAAAATTGGAATCTACTGATTCGCACGAACAGAGGCTACGAATTCATTTCCTGGAAACTGACGTTCATATGGCTATGCGGCTTCTTCATTAGATACTGTTTCTTATTCCCGTTGCGAGTTATAATATGTTTCTTTGGGGTAAGTCAATATTTTTTTATTAGCCTACATTTCTAGGATGATACAGCCAATTGTTAAAATATTAGAATGTTTTGCAGCTTAATACTAGACATTGCATAAATTTGTATATTTTTTTAACATTATCCTATTTTCCAATGTTAATGCTACTGACAGAGCCAATAGGCCAGTCGTATATTGTTTTTTATACATATATTTTATATTGAATTTATTTTGAACTAAATGCTGCAGCAGTGATATAAAAAGTAAATGTATTATTTATGTAAATTCGTTCGAGGTAAATAAACAGAAACACCTACAAAAATAATCCTTGAGCGTGGGTTATTTTATGTTGTTTAGAACGAACAGTTTTAATAAAATACAATATAACAAATAATATGAGAAAGAAAAATATATATATAAAAAAACAACTAGATTACATTTAATATTAATCATAACATTATCAACAAATCTTTTTTGGCAATAAACATTAGTGTTCACCTGATATTCAAACAATAACAAGTTTGCTTTCCAATCCAAAAACATTTTTTATCTTCCAGAAAAGTATATTTCACACAAATTGATAATGACTTTTTCAACAATATTGTCCTACTTTTACTTATGTCTCTATTGAAAATAATGTTCTTAGTTTATTTTTAATAAAACTGGCATAATTTGATTCATGTCACTGTTGCCGAAACTTGACGTTCTTGTCTCATTGACTTTCGGAGGACAACTAGATTTGTGAAACTCTTCATCATCATAAACTCGTCACTTTCGAATAGTGGGAGGAACGATACAACTGCTTTCTAGCGGTTAATTTAGGAAATAGCAGTATGTCGTTCTTTCACGCAAAAATATGCGAAGTTTGCTATACATTTTCAGAAAGAACTTTAAAAATGGAAATTTTTGAGTTGGGTCACTATTCTTATACACCAACGATTTCTGGATATAAAACTTTGCAGATTCCTAGTTGGAATATGGAATGTATTAATTTCGTCATTTTTAATTTGAACAAATTTATGGAATTACTGTTCTTTAATGCCAATGTATTTGATGGTGTAATTTAGATCCCGAGTTAGCACTCAGATAAACATTACTTAGGAAATACAACTAGAGTAAATTTAATTATAATATTCATCTTAACGTTATCAACGGACATATGTAACTATTTTTTTAACAAATTGTCGAACTAGACTACGACACTTATTATTTCGTTGGTACACAAGAATAGAGACACAACTTAAAACAGATATTCATTTTTAAGTTTCTTCATTTCCTGTAAGGTTTGTCATGATCTTGCATTTTAAATTTTTTTAATTATTTGGAAGTAAACATTAGTGTTTACAAACAGTAACAAGTGTGCTTCAATAACATTAAGAAAATCTAAAAATATATTTTCATCCCTCTTTTAAGGTCATGACTATCTTCTAGAAAAGTATATTTCACACCAATTCATAATGACATTTTCAACAAAAATGTCCTAATTTGACTTATGTAACCGTTGAAAATAACATTCTTAGTTTATTTTTAATAAAACTGCCATATTTTGATTTATGTCACTCTTGTTGAAACTTGATCTTGTCTTTTTGACTGTCGGGAGTATAACTAGGTTTGTGTCACTCTTCATCATCTTAAACTCACTACTTTGTAGTACGAGTAGAACTACACAGCGGTTATTGTTGAAAGTAGGAATATACACACAAAAATATGCGGATTTTGCTATAAATTTTCACAATGAGCTCGAAAATGGATTTTTTTTAGTTCTGTCACTATTCTTGTGCACCAACGATTTCTGGAAATAAAACGTTGCAGATTCGTAGTAGGAATAAAATGTATTTATTTTTTTATTTTTAATTTGAATAAATTTAGGGAATTAATGGTATTTCATTGTGTAATTTAGGTCTCAAGTAAGCAGTTAAAATGTAAACTTAGTTTAAACCATAGGTTTCCAACCTTTTTTGACCTACCGCCTACATTTCGAAAAAAACTTTCCATGGAGTACTTTTGAGTATTTTATTTTCCAGGGGGAGACAGTTGTTCCTCAACTTCCTCAAGTTAATTTTTTCCTAATCTTGCAGTTTAAAAATATTTAAATATTTTGGGAATAAACATTAGTGTTCACCTTGTACTCAAACAATAATAAGTTTGCTTTAATAACATTAAGAAACAATCCAAAAATGTATTTTAGTCCCTCTTTTGAGTTATGACTATCTTTCAGAAGAGTATATTTCACACCAATTGATAATGACATTTTCAATAATCTCCTAGTTTGACTTATGTTACATTCTTAGTTTATTAAAAAAAAAAAACTTGCATATTTTGATTTATGTCACTCTTGCCGTAACTTGGCGATCTTGTCTCATCCACAAATAGTGTTCCTAAAGTAGACCTTGGAAAAATTTATGCAAGTACAATTCTTTTTAAGTGTCAGTTTGGATTTAAATCAGAGCCGTGTGTAGTTATTACGGACGTGAATCGTTAAGTAAAATGGGGAAATAACTCAAAATAATTATGAAATCGATAATTTGTTTGCTACTTTTTAGGCAACGAATATAAAAAAGCAAAAAATAAACTTTATCGGCAGTAGTTTTAAAATGTATGTCTATAATACTTTTTATATCAATCTCGTTTTTTCCGATGATGTAGTGGATTTAATTAATTCCCTGCGACATATTAACTCTCAGGATATTTATTGACTGTCAATCCATAAAGGTCATTCAAGCCCAAATGGTGTCGAAAAGCATTGTAATGATATACGCCCGGTAGAGTCCCCTTTTTTGAATTTTTTTCTTCCATTTGCTGTGTCCCTTTATAGTTGACTTATTGTTTATTATAACTTTAACATACCATAGCTCTATTTAATTTTATCCATACCTTATTGGATAGAAAAAATTATGTGGGTGCGCTTTTATTTGATCTTTCAAAGGCTTTTGACTCGGTTATTACTGATATAACAATAAATAAATTGAGATTTAGGTTTTCGGGACAAATTTTTTTCGTGTTAGGATTGAAGATCAAGTTCCAAACTATAGAGGATATTGTTGTGCCTCAAGGGTTCTAGAACTTTTGATATTTTTTTTATTTGGTACACATAAATGATCAGCTTAAATATGTTATATGGAAACGGTCGACCAAAATTTGACTTTTCTTCGCCACTGTTTGTAGCAAATTTTCTCCTCTTTTCAACTTTTAAAATTTTCGTTATCTATTCCTGTTTTTTTTGGGACTACGAATGATTAATTTAGTTTTTTTTTTAACTTTGTAAATATTTATTTATGGTTACTTTATTTTTTATTTTCTTATTCTAAAATTTAATTCGGGCGTTGAATGGCTTATTTCTAAATAAATAACTTCTATTATACGAATTAACATTAACGTTTGGTGATACAGTTTTGACAGGATACACATAGTTTAAAATGATGGAGAAACTGAATGGTATTTTAATAACCCTTTCATCTCTTAAAGCTAATTTATTTTCAAACTTCCTCTACATTCCCAATCTAAGTTTAAGTTAAAAATAGTTATTTTTAAATAAAATTTATAGCCATAGTTTGAAATGTATGAGTACATCGATCACAGGTACGTTATCATTAAAAAACTTTGAACTTCCTTTGTTTATACAAATATTTTTTAAAAAAATCCAACAATTCTTCGATAACAATGTAACTAAAGCTGGTAGAAATTAATAAAAGATTAACAACCTTTTGTATACCCGGTTGTAATTGTATTTGATAATAATTTTTTATCGGTAAATTTTTATTATTTTCTGTGGGACAAATAAGTTATAAAGATCATGCGATATTTGAATTTAACTTTTTATCAAAGGGAAATATGAAAAATGTCAATATTCAAGGTTTGTTTTGCAATTAACAAAATACTTTTTGTTACAATTAGGTACCGTCCAATTTATTAACTAGCTTGCATTTTTGCTTTAATTGCACGTCAGTTTTTACTGAATTAACAGACGGGTAGCGGGATCTTTAAAAGATGATGATAATTCGTTTTATGGTTGGTTCTTGAACAACTAAAAATTTGAAAATTACCTTGCCTCTTAATTTGCGAGTTATGTCGGTGTTCTGTCTTGTCTTGTCTTTAATAACAATTTTAAGTTTAGCAACCAGACTAAAAGAAAAGTATTCGGTACATTCGATCATCAAACCATATGGGTCTCAGATTATAACAAAAAATTTGCCAAACCATTTTATTAAAAAAACAGTGGCACTATAAATCCCTTTAAGAAAACATTAAAACCATTTTTATTGTCTTACTCGTTTTATGATATAGACACAGTCATTTTTATTGTTTGATTTTATGAATTTTATTTATAAACATATATCTAACGTTTTCTATACAATAATAATTTGTATTAAGGAAATAAAATTATTTCTATTCTATTCTATTTCATATAGAACCTGTTACCTTTGCAGATTGAATCTGCTGTTAATACATGGGACTAGGTCCGGTACTGCTTGTGGGCTGTATTTTGAGAAGGAAACCCTTCGACCATACATCAAAAAATGACAAACGGCACAATGTTTGTGTAATTGTTTCCGGACTGTTATGCCGTGGTCTTTCTTGGTTATTATTACCAAATGTTTCAACAGAACAAATTATTTACACATTTACACTACTAGCCATTTATGCTTCTGTTTGTAAAACGAAGTAATTGATTGACGGTTTAAAAGATGTTTTTTTAGCGATATATATGCGGACTCCAGACATTCTGTCGTGGCGAACGTTGAAAGTGTTGAAATTGGAGTGCAGCGATATATGAATAACGACCCCGAGGTATCTTTCCTGTTAAACCTTTGAAAGCGGAGTGAGTTGACGAGAAACGAAAACGATGTATACATTTAAAGGCAACTCGTCGGTTCTTGTGTGTGAAGGTCGTTTCCAACTGGAAATATATACATCATTAAGTGGAATTTTGCAATAATTATTTTTTTAAGGTCTATTGAGTGGGAAAGAGAAAATTTACGATGCCAGAGATAGAATATATAGAGGAATGTAGCTTGGATTTGGGTTGTACAATCACGTCTTGCAGAAACTATATTTAGCTTGTACTGTATCTTGAAATTCGGTACAACAACCTAAACAATAACTAATAGTTTTTTTTTAATAAGGATAATTTCCTGACTGTAGTAGAATTTTATATAAATAAAAAGTACCTAGGTTTATTTGGTCAACAGTTTTTATTAATTAAGCACTACATATGTTTCGAAAAAACATTTTTCCATCTTCTGGTACAGTCAATATATTTATAAAAATATAGGGGACGAATACAAACAGTTTAAAAATTTTAAAATAAGAAATCCCATCTTTCTGTTTCACAGCATGTGAAGGTTATAGACAAACAATTTCGATGGCCTTTTTCGACGGTATCAACAAAAAGAGACAAAAAATTATCAACATTCTTCTTAGTTGGCACTTTTAATTTCGTTTACAACGCCTTACCGACTTGCTGCGTGATTATAACCGCATGACATTAATTGCTGTCAGTGTACGTGTCATTTGAATTAATACAGATCAGAAACATGGTTTATTTAAATGCATAAAATAACAATTTTACAAATGATTGGTTACGAAGATAACACACGAACACAGTTCGAAGTTGTTCGCCTATTTCAAGAAAAATTTCCCGATTTGAGGCCTATATCTCAAGTAAAATTGTGAAAACAATTTCGAGAGCTTTGACATGTATGGCAGATGAAAAATGGGTCCCTAAAAATAAAAAGAAGACTGCTTCATGATGTGGCTGTTTCATAGCATTCTTGACTGTCATGTTGTTAAACCTAGGATAAAAGTTGAAGTACCGCCAAAAGTTTATATTTGGGGCGCTGTTGCCACATCGAAAAAATCTTGGATTCCGGTAATTTTTCAATTGTCCTCTATTACTACATCGAACAAATCTTGGATTCCGCTATTATCGCTGTTAAAAGCGACCATTTAGGATCATTTTTTTATTGCGCATTCCTGCATTTATTTTTGGGAGATATTCGTCGAAATTTTGACGACGTTTTGAATCGGAACGTTTAATTTCCAGTTCGCCTTACTTGTAATCTCGACGTTTTCGTTGTCCTATTTGCCGAAAGGAAGCTTTAAGAGATGGATAAACGAACAGTGTTACAAGATGAGTTTTCGCATTATGTCACAATGTATCTCCGCCGAAATTATAATACACAATAAACAATGGCGGCCGACTAGGAGCTCTGTGTGTGTGGCCAATCATACATCGCCGATCGACGTTATGATTTTGTCCTCCGATAATTGTTATTCTCTGGTAAGTTTTTTTTTAAAGGTACAGGTACGGTAATACCCCGATTTACTACGGTTCCTTCATTTCCTGTTAATTTTTGTTTTATGTTTTTCATGTTTCCTATGTGTTTTTCGTGTTTCGTAGGTTTATTATGTTTTGTTCTTTTCATTATATTTAACATTCGAATTTAGGACATAAAACATTTGCTTTTGTGATTATTTTATCGTTTTAAATAATCTGTTTTTTTTTTTCTTTCTCAAATCTTTATTCTTTTGTTTTGTAATTTTTTACATTGTATTATTCTGAAATATTTGTTTTGTCATATTTTGCCGGTTCTTTAATTGGGAATTTCCTGTAGAACAGTTTGTAAAATAAATAAATAAATAAATAATGTTATTTATTTACGTATTTTTGTTGGCTCTTAAAGTATTATTATCTCTGTCTTGTGTTATAACTTAGTTTCCTTCATTTTACATAAGTTAAGTTTTGTTTTGTATTTTTATTTAATGTGTTTTTGTTTGTCTTAGTTATGTTTTTTTACTTCTGTGTTAATGTTATATTTTGTTCTTTTCGTTATTTATTTACGTGTTTTTGTTGGGTCTTAAGGTGTTATGTTTTGATATATTTATTATCTCTTTATTTTCTTACGTGTTTTTGTTTGTCTAAGGTATGTTATGTATGTATATTATATTCTTCATTTATTACATGTTTGTGTTGGTCTCAAGTATGTTCTTTTCCTTTTCTTTTACTTGTTTTTATCTTTGGTTATGGTACGTTTGTATGTTTCTATGTGTCATGTATTTTTGTTTATATATTATATTCTCTTTCTTTATGTGTTTTTGTTTGTCTAATTGTGTTATATTTGTATACAGGGTGGCTCACGCTCAACGGGACGGAGCTTTATGGGAAAACGACCAAAGATATAAAAAATTCGTTTTGGGAGGAATACGTAGGTTACAGACGGCTACAATTTAAAATTTGTTAGATGTATACAGGATGTCCCACATAAGAAAAAAAAATTAGTTCATTAAAAATTATTCAAACAAGAGTAAACAATTAATTTCTGGGAGACTTTTTTTCCTTAAAAATTCAAATAAATCGAAAACTAATAATAATAGTAATAGGGAACCTTTAGTTAACTGTCATTATTTTTGATGTAGTTTTTAATTCTAAAATAAAAAACAGGGTGTTCCATTAAAAATAATATAACTTTGTATATTTTCTCTTATGTGGGACATCCTGTATACATCTAACACATTTTAAATTGTAGCCGTCTGTAACCTACGTATTCCTCCCAAACGAATTTTTTATATCTTTGGTCGTTTTCCCATAAAGCTCCGTCCCGTTGAGCGTGAGCCACCCTGTATTTTATCTTTTTATTTGTATGTTTAGTATTCCTACCTACAACGTATTAACGCAAATTCAGGGTATTACTGTGTATAAAATGCTGTAGCTGTATTATAGTGGTCCAGGGTAAGGAAACTATTGGAGGGCGAGATGTTAACTTGTTATACAAATGGTTAAATTTATGTACAGCTTTATCTGTAAATTATTTCTGTAATCCACTGCTAGCGAAAAAGAAGGTGCCATCGGTGGTGATACTGTCTGTAAAATTTGTGTGCACAGATTTACTTTTAGCTACCTTGATTATTCAGGTTTTAGTCCGATTTGAAGCTTCTTCATGATTTTGCTGCTATTGTTTCATATTCAATGGCTCTAGACTTTATTTATTTTTATTTAGAATACGCCTCTTCTTAGAAATAAAAAAGATGACAGATGAAACAAATTAAATCGCATTTGCAGACAAAAACATTAAAGCATTGGCCTGATAGTATTCGTAATTTATGGTCCAAATTGATGTTATTCCCTTTCTCTTGTTTCGGTTTATATGTCATTTAATAAATTAGGGGAACTGCCATCGGTTATTAAATAATTTTTTTATTATTGTCCCCTATAACAAACATCGAATGTTTTTGTTACTGTAGATGGTACATAAATTGCAAAACTTGTTTACTGGTTAAAAAGGAACAATTTAAACAATAAATAAAAAAAATCTACGAGTATTACTGAATTAACTATGTAATTTAATAAAAAATAACTACCTTGAGAAAATAAAATGTTTTGCAATGAACCTTTTTTTAATGAAATAATCTACAATAATAGCCATGTTATAACTAAGTGATTACTTAATTCAAATTGTCTCAATTGTTAAATAAAATAGACAAAAAAAATTATTTTCTAGAATTGTTCTAGAGCTTGATTTGTTTTTCGTTTCCATGCACGATATTTTTGAGTAAATTAACATTTTGACTATTTGTATAGTCGATTATAATGCTTAGTTTTTGTAAAAACATTAAGTATCTCTCTGAATTTTAAACAAGATCAAATATGAGATAAAAATATACAGATGGTTTTTTTTTAGATATTAATATTTAATGGCATTCAAGAGTAATGGAAAATATCAAGATTAAATTAAAATGTTTTTATCACTATGTATTAATTTAATAATTTATTGAATTCTTTATTATTTTATTGACTATTGATAGGTACTTATTATACACATATTTATTACATTGTTTCTAATCGACCATAAATAAATGAAGCTCTTTTTAGCCAAAATAACGATTAGTTGACTCATGTAAAAATAAATTTGTTCTATAGATTTTGTGCCATTTGTAAAATAGAACTTAAAAATGTAAGTCATAATTTCAAAATTTCGACGAGATCAAAGATTAAAGTGCAAGCCGTAACCCCTGTACTAAAATCTTTTCCTGGTACTAGGAAAAATAACTTTTAATTAAACTATAAACATAGGAAAAGTTGTGTAAAAACTTTGAATCGAAGAATCAAAACTCTTGATGATTAAAATATGTTGCACTCAGCAGTATACAGGGGAATCTAGAAATGCTATCATTACTAAAACAGTAAGATAAAATAAAAAAATGAAACCAAGGAAAAAAAGAAAAAAAAAAAAAAAAAAAAAACAAAAAATAATACAAAAAAAAATAAAAAAAAATAAAAAAAAAATAATACAAAAAAAAAATAATCAAAAATACATATAATAAAAAAAAAGACTTTTTTTATAATTAATTACAAACTCAGGTATTTTGATAGCTGTAAGTCAAAATATAATAATAATAATAATGTAATCATGTAACAATAGTGGATAAAACAATTAAAGAGTTATGGATTACTACAATAGTCTGGCCTTTTGGTTTTATCCAGTGCCATTAAAAAAAAAAAAAAAAAAAAAAAAAAAGTAAAAAGTCCGACACTGACAAAAATGCTATTTTTCTATTTTTTGTACGAAATAATATTGATACCTTTTTGCCAGACTATTGTAAGTGCCATTTAAACAAATTGTCGCTTACTTTAGTCTAGCAAAAAGGTATCGATATGACACATTTAATACATATTATAGCATATGACCGAACATAACGACCGTTAAAGTAATCATGAAAGTCTTATGAGGTAAAATTTATATCTCCTTACTGTTAGAAGATGACAGAGGTAAAGTAAGGACAACAGACCTGCCGCTTTCTTCTAGTGATTAACCTCTATATGGGTACACTTGTACATAAATTTATATATACATGTGAGTTATGTAAGCTTTTCTGTGTCTGTTATTTGTGCTCTTTCTAGGTGTTCTGGCTTACTCTGTGCACAGCTTTGGTCGGCTACGTGAAACCTGGCGAATTCAAGCATAAGTTGACCAAATACGTGTCCATTATGTGCTTCGGGATACTGTCTAGGGCCATATCTTCCGTCGTCACGTATCACAACGAAGAAAACAAACCAAAGAACGGGATATGTGTGGCCAATCACACCTCACCTATCGACGTTCTTATACTCATGTGTGATAATTGTTATTCTTTGGTAGGTGCATCGATTGTTGTAGTTGTATTGATTTACTCGCTTTGGTATCTAGGTACCTTTAGGTGTGAGGTTAATGTTAAAATAATTCAAATACGAGGGTATGCCGAACAATTGATAGAATAATAAATTAGGCATTCTAACGACCTGTCAAAATCCTACCCATGACAGGGTATGATATAGCAACCCTAGATGAGTTCGGGCTAGATGAGTTCTTTTTACTCATAAAGTACCTAATGCGTTCGGGAACAGAAGGAGTTAAAACAAGTATAAGAAATTAAAATTTAAAAAAAAAACCGACTTCAAAAACGTGCATATGCCATCACCACATCTTAACCAAATTTATATAAAAAAAGAATCATAGAAATCGGACAAGGTGGTAAAGAATTATCGCTAAACATACATAAAAAATGAAGAGTTTGAGGATTTTCTCATGAACCCAATTATTAGATTTTGACCAAATTTATATGGGACCACCCCTGAAGTACCCCCTTTCTAACAAAAAAAGAATCATTGAAATCGGACACCGTGTTAAAGAATTATTGCTGAACATACATAAAAAAAAATATCGCGACGAATTGATAACCTTCTCCTTTTTTGAAGTCGGTTAATAAAAGTTCCTTTTTGACCGTTCGGAGATCATGGAGTGGAGTATGTATCGGGCATGCGCACAAGGTGATTTAAATCGATAATAAGATAATTGTGACTGATTCTTTAGTAAAAAGCTTTTTTTGGTTCCTGTGAATATCATTAATATTTAAGAAACTTATACGATTGTTACTGATAAGTACGATTAGATTTTAAGTTCTGGTATGTCACATTGACAACTGACATTGCACTCTGAGAGTAAAAGGAGTAAAATCATATGCGCACTCCGTTTACGTCTAATTACTCCACTCTGGAGTGCGCAACCCGAACTCGCCACCTGTGGGATGTCTTTGACAAGGTCAAAAGGTCAATGATACATATTATAGTTATATAGCTTGCTCAAAGGAGGTCGTTTAGCGAGCGGCCATATTGCCTCACAAGTACTCTTTAATCAGAATCGGTTTAGCAAAAATGTGTTTTAAAACCAATTTTCGGCATTTGAATATATATTAAAAAAAAAATAATTACCTTCATTTTTACTAAAAGGCATAAGCTTATGTTTATTTTGAAAAACATGGATTATTAATCTATATAACTATCTCATTGACTGTCAAATCACCAAGCCCACAGGGTTGCCAGTTGCCATATAACTTGTCATTACCTACGGGCAGACATTTTGTTGGGAATGCCTAATAGATGGTGTTTTATAGTTTTTTCAAAATTTATCTATTCTACCTAATACGTCTAATGTCAATTTTTGTTCTGCATATCCTTACAGATACAATGGATTTTCTTATGGTCTATAATATATAAGATATATGCGGCAAATACCGGTTTAAAAGAAGTTATGATGTATCTCTGAAAATCAAAATGGCTACTTAAAGGTGTTTGTGAATGTCATATTATATTAGGTGTGGTCCATTCCTTTTAATGTGTACACCCAAGGTTATTAGGTGAGGCTTAGGTTCTATTTATAGTGAATTTGCACAACTAGTTTTTCAGAAATAAGTGCATCTTAAAATGTCATTTGTAATGAAAAAAAATATCTTTTTTAGTTTAGTTTATTTCTTAACGACTAGTGGTGCAAATGGACATTAGTAATGGTAAGTCTTGAGCGTAATCACAATCTAATTATTTATATTAGTCATAGCCGTAGTAATAACATGTCTTGTTGGAAAATAATTTTTTTAGTCATAAGCTTATGTAAATGGATATTATGATCTTATTCTTCTTTTATATGAATCTCTGCTCTGATCGTGAGAAGCGCTAATCGTGTGTCCAAAAAAACAGTAGTCAATAATTATGTTCTAACCTATTAGCGTCACAGGAGGTTAACCGCAATACTAAATGCAAAATTTAAATACATCGTCACAATCCTAATTTTACATACAAAAATTTGTGGATTTTTTAAATTATTTGAATTAAAATTTTGGTATTTAAGAAATAAACAAATAATATTTTTTATTTAACCAATCAACTTAAACATTTTAAAATATAACAAATTAATTGTCAAAGAACCAATAACATATATTAAAAAAGTATTCTTTGATAATGGCCTCTAGTAGTTGGTCATTATGATGATATTAATATAGAACATACTAGATTAAAGAATTGTACAACTGCCATCTATAGATCATTAATGTGACATTAATACATATTTATTTTCTATTATATCTTATTTTCTGTATTATTATAGGACCTGTCACATAACTAAATTTATAAAGAACAGTATAGATGTGAAATACACTGCACTAAGGACCTGGAACTTTTGGATAGAAATCTACACTATTATTTTGTAAAAAACACCATAAACACTATAAACAGTGTCATATGTGGCAACGTGGCAACCATAGCCACAGTACACATGACGTATGATATGTCAATATTAGTAGTGTCAAGGTTCGACAATTCCAATCCCAGTTAGTTAAATAAGTTCCTAGAAAATTTTAAGACCAAAATTATATTTTTCTAACCTCAAATTCTCCGAACTTTATCAAATTCTTCGGAAAGCGGAAGAAAAGTCTTAGCCTATTGGCAACATACTGCAACTAACAAGAACTCTTACACAACGTATCTTATAGAAATCTGTAAATCTAATAATACGTTTAAAAACTCATATATAATACTAATATAGCCAAAAAGAACCCTATTTTATACATTTTGATTCTGTAGATAACTATTCTATAACAAAACTATACAACTATTATACAACAATAATTTTCAGTGATGATTATAAAACTCTCTTATAAGTGTATCTCCGGGATTATTTATACATCTCTAGGATTATTTATTATGCAAATAAATGATCAAAATAACAAATTTAATAATGACGTACAAAACTCATTAAAATGTATTTTTAGTAAACCAAACAAGGAAGAAAGAAAAGTTAATGCCGAATCCATTTTACTGACAAAAATATGTATATATTATTATAAAAAAATTGATACGCCTCAGTTTAGAGCAAAAATGGTTAATTAAAAACTAAGAATGAATTTAAACTGACTTGAAAAAGCCATATTTTTAATTTAACCAAAATTTCTGTTGTTTTATTTCTTGATTTCATAATTTGTCCTTATTTAGACAAAACTGTTTTTCAAAGTGAATTATGCAAAATGGGTGAATAAAATAAACTGGTATTCCTTCAATAAAAAAGGGCGTTTTATAGTATACCAGCTTTCTTCTGCTAGAAAGATTATCAAATAGTTATACAGGCACCTAACTTCGTTATAAATTAACTATAAAATAGTTTTATATTTATTACAACTTAATAAAATAATTATTGTCCGCCTAATTTAATTTTTATACAACATTGTATAAAACTTTTATACAACTGTTTTTAAGTGCTGAAATTAGCAGATTATAGTAAGTAGTATAAAATTAGAATTGCATTTTTACACAATTTTTATACAACAGTTTTCTATAAAAAAAATTTAAAAGTTATGCAACTGTTAGAGAAATCGCTAATTTTACAATAAACCGTTGTTCTATAATATGGACGTGATAATATTTTTACAGAACAATCTTATGTTCTTCCCTTAAGATAAATTTGTTGTGTTAGGACACTCTAAGAAATAAAATTGTTCCTTAACTAGCATTATTCGACAACTATATAACTGTTCACTTTTGTAAGGCATTTATTTTGCTAGTTGGGCAATGATGTCCTCTTACGTATTTCTTCAGCAGCCATACATTGACAGAAGACTAGTATTAAAAACAGAAGAGTAAGATTTTAACCCATTCTCTGATATTCCATTTACACAAGCTTCAGCTTAGTGAGTGACACGGTGAATCGACTTTTTACAGGTGTTTCAACTCTTTTTAAAATATTGCACCAAACAGTGTATAGTACTAAAAAATCCACCAGAGGTCGGTAGAAGGCGAAGTATCGCAAATGAAAACAATGACTGCGAACTGTCAGAAAAATTCAGTTAATTTTATCTTTATCAAGTAAAAAATACGTCTGTATTTTATTAATGTCTACTAATCGTACTTTATGTAACAAACGAAATGAAAAGTGAAAACGACGAGAAGTAAAATTCTACTATATTTCTATAGTAACCACCCATATATTTCATCAAACAAAGTAAGGACATTACTATTTTTCATCGTTTTTATAGTGTACGAGACAACAATAATTAAATAAGGAAAATAGTGGGTATTCTTTCCTACAGAATTGCAAATATTGTTCAAATGGATTTTGAAAAAATAAGTGTTAAGTGAAATACAGAAGAGTAGGTATTATAATTGCCACATTTTAGATAATGAATAAACACATTCCAAAGATACATATGCTTATTTTGTTACTAGTTCTAAACATGGAGGTATCTCCAATTGCAATAAAATGTGGTTTTTGTAACAGGGCAAATTGATGAAAAGGGTAGATAAAAAAAATGTTGTATCTGTAAACCTTAATTACCTATATGAATAAGTGTTGTAGGAAACTTTTTATTATGTATGCCCACAGGATTGTTTTCAATAGATTGATTCATTAATTTATACTACTTTAATCATTTACAAAATAAATCAAAGGTTTGTAGGTGTAGCTACACACAGATTGATAAAGAAAAACGAAGGCAGGTCTTTTCAAGTGTGGAAATTTTATTAGTGTTCACCAAGAGCTTGCATTATAAAAGTAAATAATAACAAATTATTATCAATCATTCCATTCTTGTTTACATTTATAATATCCGGATGATGTCTTAACAGCCAAACTGCTAATTCTAATAAAATGTACACGCATACACACTTAAAAAATTAAAAATGTCTTTGTTTCTTTTCTTCATCTACAAAATGTTATAAAAGCCTATAACAGCAATTACTAGCGTTTTTATTATTTTATTTCTACATCGTCCACTTCTACTTTTGATATTTAAATTAACATTTGACATCAGTACATCATTCATATCTAAGATCAACAGTAACTAGACAACAATAACTAGACCTCAACAAAGATGAAAAATGCATTAATTACTTAAACTAACAACAATAAATAATATTGCAAAATTATTAGAGTTATAAATAAAATACAATTATATTTGTAAATATATGTCATGCTCCGTGAACATTAGTATAATAACCTGTCAAATTATTGACCAATCATCTGATGACCAGATCTTGAAGTTGGATACGCGTTGATGTTTAAACATACTTTACCTAGTTTTTATAATGGTCAAAAATGGTCAAACGGGTACCTCACCTTCTAACGACCTCTGGAGGATTTGTTTTGGAACTACGTTGTATTTGGTGTCATATCGCCTTTTATTTTTATATGGGATTTGAGAGAAGTTGAAACACCTACTAATAATTGTCATTCATCGTGGTGAGAGTTGAATTTTGTTCAACTTTTTTTATGACTAAGCTCAAGACTAATGCTATTACTACGATTATGTCAAGTATAAATGGTCCCGTGAATGTTCAATCTCGACTTATGCTTATGATTATTGTCAAGTCCATTATAAATAACCTTTATGGGTATTTTCTAAAACTTATGTTTATTACTATTACTAATATACTATAAATGGGTCCTTAGTTAAAGTGGGTAGTCTTTCAAACGCGAACAAGCATAATCTCTACTTCATTCCAATATCGTCCACTTATACTATTCCATTGCGCATGCGTTAATCATAGACCACGAGAAAATCCAACTGTCTAATACCGCGTATTTAAATTTTCAACTTTAACTGTACAAATCTAGATTGGACAACGTCACGGCGGATTCCTCGGAATATTCCAGAGAGCGCTGGCAAGAGCTTCTCCTCACATTTGGTTCGAGAGGTCAGAAACAAGAGACCGGCATGCCGTGGCGAAAAGGTATTCAAATTAGATCTTTTACGACCCAATATACAGAAAGACAGAATATAATATTGTATAGATCTAAAAATGAATAATGACAAATATGTTGATTTGCGTGTTTCAGATTGAAAGAACACGTCAGCAATCCTAAGAATCCTCCGATTTTGATTTTTCCTGAGGGTACGTGCATTAACAACACTTCCGTGATGCAGTTCAAGAAGGGTAGCTTTGAAGTGGGCAGCGTTATCTATCCCGTCGCCATCAAATATGATCCCAGATTTGGAGACGCCTTCTGGAACAGCAGCAGGTATATATATATTTTTTTCATCAACATTGTTTTAGATGAAGGAAAAGAAAACTCGATTTTAACCTTATCTTTTTTCTTTTAATTTTTCTTTTCCTTTACAGTCGTACCAAATTTGAGATACGGACAACCTTCTTATTAATAATGAACAATGGTTCTGTTGCCCAAACTATATACAGGGCGGACCAGTTTATATCGTCATGATTATAATAAACTATAAAAAAAACCTCTTCGATAGACTTAAAACTATGTAATAAATATAACCTATTAATACGAAACATATTATTTATTATAAAAAAAAACATTTTTTGATTTCATTTATTAATTATTATACAACAAAAGTTCTTTGAATGGCTGGACTATAAAATAAATATAGTACGGTAAATCGAGAACAATTTTGTTGTTATTAAATAAAACACATTTTTATTTACTGGAACTATATTGTAAATAAATATAGCATGGTAATACGAAACTTTTTATTTATTATTTAAGAAAAACCTTTTTTGGTTTCATATATTATACAACAAAATTTGCTTTAATTGTTTTGACTATAAAATAGATATAGTCCGTTAAATTGGAATATTTGATTTATATAATAAACCAACTTACACATGGCTACCCCAAGTTTGAATATTTGATTTATTATTAAAAAACACGTTTTTCGTTTTCATATAAATATATAATAAAAATATTTCGATTTTCTGGACTATATAGTCCGGTAAATCGGGATCATTTAGTTTATTATTAAAAAAATACTTTATTTTCATTTAAAATAAATCAGTTCGTTTTATTGGAATATAAAATAAATATACTCAGATAAATCGGGAATATTTATTTGTTAATTAAAAAAACGTTTTTTTTTTTTTGTTTTCATACTGTATCGTCGTTGCAGCGGTGAAACCTCCTATGTGACATTTTGTCACATTTTCAGATATTTGTGCCATTTCATAGAAAACAACATACTCTACAGTTTAGCGAAATTTTCTTTTAAAATATTGTGATTTTAGATCAAAACCTCCCTATTGCGTAATACGTATAAGCCATCAGAGCAAAATTGTTACGTTTTTTGTGTCTACTGAAAATTTTGATATAATGTTTTCACCGCAGCAACGACGATATATCGATTGACTGGACTAAATACGGTTTAAAACGGTGTTTCGTCTTTGTTATTTTTATATTAGATGGATCTGTATTTTTTATCTAATTTTGGAAATCTCCATTTTCCCTTATCCACTCATGTATCACACTAAATTTTTTATAATTGACAATGAACTGTACTTTAGAATTCTTTTTTATTTTTATTTTTAATTTGTAGTTTTGACAAAAATATTTTCGTGTAGGTAAAAGTTAAATATGTGCTCTTCTGGAGCCACTTTTTCAAAATTTTAATATTTTTTATATACGGTGTGACAATTTAAAAACTTACAATGGGCTATACAGGGTGGGCCACTTAAAAGTTCCATCCCCCTTATCTTCGTTATTCATTGAGATATCGAAATAATTTTTTTCTTGTTTGAAAGATTAGAACAAATGCTTTCTTAAGATGGATTCAATTATTCTGTGACGTCATGGCTTACTTCCGGTTTTTTCGGAAATAACAGAAAATCGTAATTTATTTTTTATTTTTAAATTGAAACCCACTTTTTTATTGTAAATTTGGATTTCTGGGACATTTTTGTTTAATAATCGTGTATTGAAAATTTTCTGACAGCTTTCAAAATAGCCGCCATATTGGATAATATTTGTTCTAAACATGTTACTATTAATTCGTTTATGAAAAAAAATATAGGAATGTATGATCTTTATAAAATCTTTGTTATCTTCAAAATTCCCATTGATACCCATTTACCGTATACGAGTGGCGTATCTAAGCATTTTTAATATTAACAAACCGTTTAATAATTCCATCCGCTTTTATCTTCGTTGTTAATTGAGATATCGGAATAAAAACTTTTTTGTTTAAAAGCTTATAACAGATACTTTCATATATTGGATCCAATTGGTCTGTGACGTCATGGCTTACTTTGGATTTTTCGGATATAACTTAAAATCGCAATTTATTTTTTAATTTAAAATCGAAACTTCTTTTTTGTTGAACATTTGAATTACTGGGACAATATTGTACAAGAAGCGTATATTAAAATTTTACTGTCAGCTGTGAAAATGGCCGCCATATTGGATAATATTTTTTCTAAACATGTTACTATTAATTCGTTTATGGGAAAAAGGTGGGAATGTATGATCTTTATAAAATCATTGTAAGCTTCAAAATTCCTATTCAGACCCACTTACAGTACACCAGTGGCGTATCTAAGCATTTTTATTATTAGCAAACCGTTTAATAATTCCATCCGCTTTTATCTTCATTCTAAATTGAAATATTGGAACGAAAACTTTTTTTGTTTAAAAGCTTGGAGCAAATACTATCATATACTGGATTCAATTGGTCTGTGATGTGTGTTGAAAATTTTCTATCAGTTGTCAAAATGACCGTCATATTGGATAATATATTTTTTAATATGTTACTGTTAATTCGTTTATGGAAAAAAATATGGGCATATATAACATTTTTGTGAGCTTCAAAATTCCCATTAAGACCCATTTACATTGTAGCAGTAGCGTATCCAAGATTTTTGTTATTGCAAATCGTTTAATAATTTCACCCGCTCTTATATTCCTTATTAATTGAGAAATCGGAATGACAACTTTTTTGTTTGAAGGCTTGGCAATAAATAATGTCGAATACTGCTTCAACTGATATGTGACATCATGGCTTACTTCCGGTTTTTCTAAAATAACAGTAAATCGCAATTTATTTTTTATATTTAAATGGAAATCCACTTTCTTATTGAAAATTTAAATTTCTTGAACTTATCAATGTTTATTATTGTATGGTGGGTATTGTTTTATTATATTGATTCCTTAAATCTTTCTGATGAAATTAAGCTACTTTAAAATATGAAATAAAAATAAACATTTCTTATATTTAAAGATCTGTTGTGTGTCGTATTAATTTATTTTTCTGCTACTGTGCGTTAAAGTACGTACATTATGTGCACTACGGAGTGCATACAGTTTTTTCCTTTTTTCACCAGTGCGTATAGTAAAACTTTTTACGCACTAGTGTGTCAACAAGACACAATTTTTAGTATTTTGACATGACAAATGGCATTTTATTTCAAACTTTCTTTACGCTTTAGTGCATAAAGTAACCTTTGTATTTTTAATCTTAGTGGCAATATGTACGGTAGTAGAAATATCGTATGAAATTCGTATGTAAAGGCCTTTATTGAAGGCCATTTTATACACTTATTATAAGCATAAATAACTATTTTTTTTATTTTATTTGTCAGTAGGTAGTTGACTGATGTAGTGGTTACAAGCGCTGAAATCGTATGAATTCAGTTCGATGACAGATATGCTCAAGAAATATAAATTTTCAATAAAAAAGTGGGTTTCCATTTAAAAATAAAAAATTAATTGCGATTTACTGTTATTTTCGAAAAACCGGAAATAACTTTACGTTAGAAAACTTTATTTACAATTAAAAATTTATGTACATGTCATATAATAAATTTACAATATTTATTTACCACTTAATATTTCTGGTAAACGTAGCAGCCCTTACTCCTTACCTGAGCGGTATTATTAGGGGATTTTGGTTTTTTTTTTTTGGAATCAGGAATGGAATGTTATTTAAAGGATTTGTCGTGTTTTTGTTCTAGTTATTGTCCCCTGAAAAAGCTAGAAAAAACAGGGTTGTCCTTGTGTGTGCGTTTGTTGATTAAGTCTATGTTTGTTTAGTACAACTCACTGGCTGAGTGATCGATAGACCTTCCATCGCGGCAATTTTCGCAAAAATCGCGGTTTTTGCCTCGATGGCTAGTCTACCGTTCAGTCCCCGTCCGACTGGTTTGTACAAGTACCCAGTCGGCGTGAGCTGTTAGTTTGTCTGTGATCGTTATGGAGGAATGTTATTGTCTGTTTTAAAATTTGTAAATAAAAATTCTAGTCTAGTCTAGTTATTGTCTGTAAATGTCAAGTTTGGCGTATATACAGCCGTGCTTTCTACGCACGCCATCCCCTCGACGTATGTTTAGGATACTATCCCTAACATCATCGGGGAGACAACGTTTGTAGAAGTTCTCGGCTGTTTTTAGTACGTAGTCTTTGATTAGTGGTGTGTCTGTTTGTCGGTGCATTACTGTGATTCTGGCATAACGATCATAGCCCAGGGCTAGCCGAAGACACCTGTTTTGTGTTATTTGAAGTTTTATATAATGACAGTTTGCCATTGAGCAAAAAGCTGGGCAACCATATGTTAGGATGGGGCGTAGGATGGTATTGTACATCAGGAGTTTGTTGGACAGAGTGACGCGGCTTCTTCTATTAAGAATAGGGTAGAGGGTTTTAATGGCTACGTGATTTTTAGCCACTCTGTCCTTGATGTAGAGGTCGAATGTTAACCCCCTATCTAACAGAAAATGCAGGTATTTGATTTTGTTTGTAGTAGGGACTTCCTGATCTCCTATTTTCAAAGGAGTCATTATTCCCTAACTACGTCTTTTAGTAATCATCATACTCTTAGTTTTTGTTTAATTTATTTTCATCTTATTCTCTGTTAGATAGGGGATTAAATCCCTGTTTATATGGTTGTCCAGCTTTCTCACTGCTGTCTCTGCTGACCTGTCGTTAGCAAAAAGACAGATGTCATCGGCGTATAGTGCCGTTTGTACCCCATTATCACCCATTGGCATGTCATGGGTCATAATGGTGTACAAGTGGGGCGACAGTACTGAGCCCTGGGGTACTTCCGCTTGCGCAGTGTATGGTCCTGTTATTGTCTTGTTTATTTTAATGTTAAATTGTCTGTCTGTAATGTATGATTGAATTATTTTCACAATATGAACGGGAAAATCACTCACAAGCATTTTATGAATTAGTCCGCAGGTCCAGACGGTATCAAAAGCTTTTTCACTGTCTAAAGCCACTAGTACCGGAAATAAGACATGACATCACAGATCAGTTAAATCAATTATTTGAGAATAATTATTCCAAGCTTTCAAGCAAAAAAATTTTCATTACGATATCTCAATTAATAAGGAAGATAAGAGCGGGTGGAATTATTAAACGGTTTGCCAATAACAAAAATCTTAGATACGCCTCTGGTATACTGTAAATGGGCCTTAATAAGAACTGTGTAGCTCACAAAGATTTTATACATTCCCATATTTTTTCCATAAACGAATTTACAATAACATTAAAAAATATATTAACCAATATGACGGTAATTTTGACAGCTGACAGAAAAATTTCAACACACACTTCTTGTCGAAAAACGTCCCAGAAATTCAAATTTTCAATAAAAATGGGGTTTTCATTTTAAAATTAAAAATAAATTGCGATTTTCATTTATATCCGGGAAAATCGGAAGTAAGCCATGACGTCATAGACCAATTGAATACAGTAAATGAAAGTATCTGTTATAAGCCTTTAAACAAAAAAGTTTTCATTCCGATATCTCAATTAAGAACGATGATAAAAGCGGATGGAATTATTAAACGGTTTGCTAATAATAAAAATGCTTAGATACGCCACTGGTATACGGTAAATGGGTCTCAATGATAATTTTGAAGCTTACAAAGATTTTATAAAGATCATACATTTCTATATTTTATCCATAAACGAATTAATAGTAACATGCTTAGAAACAATATTATCCAATATGGCGGCCATTTTGACAGCTGCCAGAAAAGTTTTAATACACGAATTGCGATTTTATGTTATTTCCAGAAAAACCGGAAGATACGCCATGACGTCACAGAATAATTGAATTAATCATAAGAAAGTATTTATTCCAGTCTTTCCAACAAAAAAAAAATTATTTTGATATCTCAATAAATAACGAAGATACGGGGGGTGGAACTTTTAAGTGGCCCACCCTGTATATTAAAGTTTTTATTTAACAACAAAAAGTACCTATGGACACTTATCATTGAAAATAAGGTTTTATTGGCCTTTAGAGCTTTATCATTGAAAATAAGGTTTTATTGGCCTTTAGAGCTTTATCATTGAAAATAAGGTTTTATTGGTCTTTAAAGCTTTTTAACATTATATCATAAGTAGGGTACGTTTGTTTTTAAAATTTTTACATATTTATTTGGTAAATATTGTACAATTATTATTTATACCATTGGATAGCATTTTTAATAAGCTTTTCAATGTTGTATTACAAGTAGGGGTTTGCTATTTAAACTTTTATAGTTGGGTGGGGCCTAGGGGGTTGATAGGGGTGAATTCTCATTTATGATATCATCTTTCGTTTGTGAGATATAGCCCATTGTAAGTTTTTAAATTGTCACACTTTATACAAAACTAAAATTTTTTACAATTTTCTCATTTAAACGAAATGGGATTTTGAAAAAGTGGTTCCAGAGAAGCACATATTTAACCTTACCTACACTTGCTATAACTAAAAAACAAAAGTGTGATACTAACTCCATAGTGTTTGATTAAATTATCGCCACCCTATATAACATTTCTATGTGCAGGTTTTCAATGGTACAATACCTATATATGATGATGACCAGTTGGGCCATAGTGTGCGATGTTTGGTACCTACCTCCAATGTACCAACAAGATGGCGAAACCGCCATCGATTTTGCTAACAGAGTCAAAAGTGTCATCGCCAAGCAGGGCGGCCTAGTAGATTTAATGTGGTGAGTATTCTCTTCATAACTGAGGTTCATTCTGTTTCGTTAGTGGTCAAATATCAACTGTCATCTTTCAAATATAAACTCATCTGTTAAATATCAACTGTCATCTGTCAAATATCAACTATCATCGGTTAAATATCAACTGTCATTTGTCAATTATCTAGTCAGCTGTAGCTAAAAATTGAGCATTATTCTACAAGATGTATTTGCGGGAAAAATTTGTGATGGATTGTTTTAAATGTTTCTAGGGACGGTCAATTGAAAAGGGTGAAGGCAAAGACGGAGTGGAAGGAGAGGCAGCAAGAGGAGTTTTCGAAAAGACTAAAAGCCGAATAAGCTTAAAAATAGATGATAGAGATAATTACATATTATGTCAAAATCTATATCAATAATTTATATATAAAAAGAAAACGGTATGATCGAGAGCGTGAACTTAAAAACAACCAATTTTATTGTAATTTTTTTATGATAGCCAGTCTAGTCTGCAGTTTTTAGAGGAAGAACGTGATATTATGATATTACCATATAGTTTTTTTTTCTAATAGGTACTACGGGTAAAAAATACTAAAAAAATTAATCTGGGCAGATAGCAGTAAAATAAACACAAAAAACATAGTTTCCTTATAGAATACTCTGTATGTAATAACGGAGGAAAATTATTTCTAGTAAAAATTCTTCTGGTTAATTTTACACACGAAAAATATCACAAAAGGTACGACGTCGTACGATTGAATATATTATTTGTAGTGCTAATGTGTCGATTACGGATGACACTTGCCTCCGCTTTTACGATTTTTCCCTAGATCGGGAAACTTTCATTAAATGGCAACGATGAAATACAGGAGCATTCGCTCATATAGTCGTCCATATATCCCGATATATGCCGCTGAAATTCGGTAAGCACGGAAACACCGCCTGGACCAGGTCGTTCGATCCCACCAAAAGATCATCGCACACATATTTCGCTGGTGGTATCATTAGTAGTCCAATTTATTTTTAAAGTGTTCTTTTTTTTAGCGATACATCATCGATATTTGTCGCGAAATCCGTCCGCTAACGTGCCATATGCCGACGTGCCACTTTTATTCCGTCATCTGTCTAAACACTCTAAAGCGATCTGTCGATCTGATGCAAACGGTGTTGTGGTGCTTACTAAATTTCGGTGGTGGTCCTCTATTACGTCATTACCATTTAATGAAAGTTAAAAGAAAGTATTCCAGATCTGAAAAAAAAAAAAAATCGTAAAAGCGGAGTCAAGTGTCACGTCGAACATCTTCCATTGTTTTTCCCTTGATGCATTGTTGGGATATGTAGAAGTCATTTAAAACACCTGTAGCACCAGTGCTGACCGATGGTCTTTGTGAGACTTGATTCTGAGATCGCGTGCTCACTGGTTGACGCTTTTAAGGTTCAGTTTGAGCTTCTGTAGTGGTTACGTGACGATGACGGATGTCTTGTGGAACAATTTCCATTCGTTTTCCCTATGATGTTATGTTGAGCCGTGCGGAAGTCATTTAAAACACCTGCAGAGCCGGTGGCTATCAATGGATATTCTTAGAGGACTTTGGGATTAATTTCCCGCTGGTGGACACTTTATAGGTTTAATTTGAGTGTTTGTAGTGGTTATTCGACGATTACGGATATGTAATCGAACATTTTCCACTGTTTTTCCGTTTGAAGCATTCTTGGGGCGTATAGAATTCATTTAAAACATCTGTAGCGCCAGTAGCCATCGATGGATATTGTTATACGAGTCTGAGATTGCGTGCCCATGGGTGGACACGTTTAAGGTTTTGTTTGAGTTTATGTAGTGGTTATGTGACAATTACGCATACTTTAGTTTCTGCAGTGGTTATGTGACAATTACGCATGCTTTAGTTTCTGCAGTGGTTATGTGACGATTACGGATCTCTTGTCAACTTGCATTTTCCACTATTTTTTCCTTTCATACATTCTTGGGGCAAGTTGAAATCGTTTAAAACAACTTCAGCACCAGTGGCCATTAATGGACATTGTGAGACTTGACTCTGAGATCGCGTGTCCACTGGTGGACGCTTTCAATTTTTAGTTCAAACTGTCTATTCACTGGTGATATAATATGCATTGATTTGCTTATACAGGTATATTCTATGTTCTTAGAAGCAAATGTGTGTTTAGGTTTGATAGGTTATGTGGACGAAATGGATAAAGCACATAAAAATGATTTGGTTTAGTGTCACATCTACAGGTGGCACCCAACTTGAATAATCATTTTTAACGAATCATATCTCGTAAAATGAATATGCTATATTACCTTAATGTAATTTGTGTTCTATTAATAGTTGACTTTTAACATCTGTCAATAAAATTGACATACCTTTTCAGTTTTTTTTTAACATTGATTATAGGTCGTAAAAAAGTAGTTTAACAAGTATGTAACCACATTGTAAAACTTGAAAAATTCTATAATTTAGTTTTGAAGAAAACTCCAAAAAATTAAATAGGTCTACTGGCATTTGTCAATGAAATACAAATTACGTCATGACTAATATAATGAATTGGAACGCGTGTTTGCTCAAAGATATCTATAAAGCCTGATCCTAATTTTAGAATATTAAAATAGCTTTAAATATTTTTTTTGTTATACAACCAAAGCATTACCTGCAAGACTCTTTTCTGTTATATTTCATATCATATTTTGAGACGCATCGTACTTGATTTTATTGTTAATAATTAGTCATAGAAAGGTTATAAATATTGTGATAAGAAGATTGCCAATGCCCCCCATAATAATCCGGTTGAGAAATATTTTATAATCTTTGAATTTGTCTTCGATCTAAGTTTAAAACATTGTATGTACAGTTTAGCTATTATTTATTTTTGTTGTTGCAAACCCACGGTTTACACAAATTTAATGTTTAGTTAGTTACGGGGTGTATCAGGTCGTTGCAAAGAGGATATTTATTCTTAATTCTTTAAATTAAATTTCAAGTTTATTTTGGCTTGAAATTTCAACTAAAAACCCTCATTTTGATTTAAATTGTTTAAACTTATTGTTGATAATCATTGCCGGTTCTGATACACCTCTTACCTCAGTTGTCAGTTTGCGCCATTTTGTGTGATAAAAACTTGACAGAAAAATTACATTTATGTTGTCAAATTTCCTTAATTTATAGTCTTTGTATATTTACATATTACAACTAATGGGAATTTGGTAATTTGAGAGTTATTAATCATCTAGGCTTATTGTATGAAAGTAACACATTGTGATTATAAGAAACTGGTCAAATTTGGATTGTGTCATGGGTACGATTATCTGAACTGATAAAAAGCATTTATTTTGTATATTTTTGTATGGAGTGGCACAATGACAGCATTTTTTACTTTCTTTTTTTTTTGTTTATTTCCTAGGTGTGTAGTATTTATTGTGTACATAAAAATGTTCTTTCTAGTTTTGTATCGTGTAAAATAAAATTTCGTCTCGTCTTTTGCTTGTGTCTTTTTTACGTCCTGAAACTTTAAACGATAAATAAACTAAAACTTGTTTCATTATTAACCTTCGAAATGCATACATGGGGTCTATTTAACCCCAAACTTGATATTAAAACTTAAAACAACGAAGGAGTGAAGAATTAACTAAAAATTATTATGATTTTAGCAACCTCTGGAATGAATAAAATGGGGGGTATATTTGACCCCAAACTTTTAAATGACATGACAATTATTTTTCCCTTCGCTGAGTTTAGCGTATTATTGAAAAACTGTTTGAATTTTACTATACCAAATGCTTTGGGTTAAATTAACCCCACTATGCAGTGTGTTATTGAAAGAACAATATAGAAATATAAATAAATTGTTTTAACCATTTTAAATCGACTGGCTATTGTTAATTGTAAACTAAACTGTTTTTTTGATGCTTCTAATAGTATATTTTTATTTGAGAACAAATTGACCAACTCAATGGAAATGCGTATGTATTCTGAAGGTTAATTAGTATTACGACAAGCTGCGGTTCTCCATTTAAAAAAGAAGACTTGGTTAAAGGTAAGAATAAGAAGAGGCAAAAGAAAGTAGAAGCATAACAGAGGTCTTTTGTGAATTGATGAGAACCTTAGCTGGGAATCCAGAAGGGAGTATTTTGACAAAAGTTGTCGGAATTGTAAAGTACAGGAGCAATTTTAGGTAGGAGAAAAAGATACTAAATCTAACGTCTTAAAATACATTTCTTCAAACGATTTTGACCTGATATATCTTTTAAAATAAAAAACCTTGAGATTTCAATGTATTCTAATTGGGATTGCCAACATTGTCGTTGATGCTACTGTCTTAAATAGTAAAACTTCCAGTTTTTTGAACATAGGTTCCTCAAGGTTCCATATTGGGTCCGCTCCTATTTATTTTCTCACGTCTCTGTGGCCCTAAAAACTTTTCAAGCCGATACTTATGATGACACTGAAGTAAAGTCTCAGAAATATCCCAAGTCCATTCGCTTTCTTTATTATTTAAATGTAAAATGGATGAAACAAAAAGTTAATAGATTTTAGCACGTCGTAGATTAATTACATCATGTTTATGTCAGGTGGCAGTTATCAAAATAATTTTGAATTTGTCAATTTGTTAAACATTTAGATATTTCAAAAGTTTTTATAAGTATTCAACAAAATGGTGAAACTTTAATGAAATGCTAAAATGGTTGCAGGAAAATAACATTAATTATCCAATCAATCGTATGAAATATCAGATTTGGGAAGTTATAAGTCAAAATCTACCACAAAAAAGAATTCCACCTAGATAGAGATGTTGAGGAGTATGGAAATAAAATATTAAGAACTCCTCCATGTCACTGCCAGTACAATGCGATACAGATGGTTTTTTGACAAACAATTTTAACAACAAAGTCACCGGAAGATGTATTTTAGACTTGGTTAGAAGAATGAATACTGTTACCGATATTCAGTGGGACAATATAAGACATACTAAAAACATAATTGTTTCCGATTGGGGAAAATACAAGCAATTAAATGGAACATTTATTTATAAAGTACGAAAGTAACTTGTTCTAGTATTTGCAGACCAAATGTAAAAACGTAATCTTAATTTTTTCAATGTGACTTTGTATTTGTGTAAGCGCACCTTAATAAAGTGTAAACTGTAGCGTATAGCGGAGTTATTTTAGAAATGCGGGGTAATTTTGGAAATTGTGTTTTTCTTATTCAATCTGGCAACGATGTGTAATCATGGCGTGCGATGCCAACGAACGTTGAAGTGTTCTCAGAGAAGACCGCGAAAAGCCATAAGTACTTGTTGCGGGATGGTAGAGGTAAGTTTGGTAGCTCTAGGTGCCGGCAAACTACATGCGTTTTTTTTGCAAGAAAATAAATATGGTCAAACTTTCACTACTGCACACTAGTAAAAATGAGTGAATGCAGCTATGGCTTTGCAAACATGTTTGTGTGGGTGTTGTTACTCAGAAATAATACGTATTTAAGGACAATATATATTTAAAAAAAAACTATTGGGTTTTTCGGTGAGCGGGGCAATTTTGGACGAGATATTTTTTATTCTTCCAAAATAGCCCCATTTTCTAAAATAACCAAAGAATTTACTTTTTTGGCTAAAATTCTCTTCTGGTCCCTAAAATAAAAATGGTTCGCGCTTACGTAAAAACTTAACCCATTCATGAAATGGTAAAAACTATACCCCGTACAGAAACTATACGGAAAAAGCCTTCCAAAACGCCATACGTGATATTCAGTGTAATGGTCTGAGCCTTGATAAGGCTTCTAAAAAATATAGGGTGCCAAGGTCTATCCTAGCTTTACGAGCTAAGACAAACAGCACTTTTCCTACAGCAGGAAGGCTTTGCATTTTAACAAGCGACGAAGAAAAAGTGCTGGTTGAACATCTGAACGTAGTTGCTTCCTGAAGCTTTCCGTTTGACATTACTGACTTAAGGATATTAATTAAGTCTTATCTTGACAGAAAAGGCTGCAATGAACGGAGGCTTAATAATAATCTAACCGGTCGAGATTGGGCTTCAAACTTTTTGAAGAGAAATAAAAACTTAATATCGAATCGATTTTCTGCGAATATCTCGACCAAACGTGAGATGGTAAATGGGCAAAATTTTGACAATGCCCGAGATATGTTTAATACCACAGACCCGTCTCTAATAATAAATTTCGACGAAACCAACCTGACTGACAACCCAGGGGCAAAAAAATGTATATTCAAGAGAGGCACCAAGTACCCTGAAAGGGTAGTCAACTCGACATAAGCATATTGTATGCTGGAACTGCAGATGGACAATTTTTGCCTGAATATGTAGTCTACAAGGCAGATCATATGTGGGTTAGTTGGACTCACGGTGGACCTGCAGGAGCGCGTTACAATCGGTCTCAAAGTGGCTGGTTTGATGCCGGCTGCTTTGAGGATTGGTTTTATAGCATTGTTGTCCCTTATTTAAGAAACAAGGATGGAGCTAAGGTTTGTTTATAAACTAGGGATTTAAGATTTTGCTATTTTAATAATCCCCATTTTTTTTATTGCAGATTTTAGTTGGCGACGACCTATCCTCACATTTTTCACAGAAAGTATTACAAACTTGCCAAGAAATGAACATATCTGTTATCTGCCTATCCCCTAACTCAACTCATCTGATACTTACCGAATCGAAGAAAACAGGAGGGCGTAAAATGTCTACGTTATCAAAAGATGTATTTCCACAGCTAATACATAAACTTCGTCAAAAAGTGGATGACAATGGAAAATCTCATCTCGGGTTTCCGTAAAACTGATCTACATACATTTGATCCTGCCGAGCCAAAGCAACGACTTCCCCCTGAACCTAAAGCAGCAGACGCCGAAGGTACACATAATGTTGTTTCTACCGCTGTGGATGACATTTTGAAAGAAATGCGTCATAGTACAGAAGCACCATCACAACAAAAACAAAGACGCAAGAGAGCGATAGCCCCGAGAGTTTCGATGACTTGCCAACATTCTCGAAATTCTGGGATCAATCACCAAATAGCAGTAGCAATGGTGATATGCCCTTGATACACTTCAAAGAAAACGTGCCACCTGCAAATTCTTCGATTGAACTTAAGAAACCAATTGTAAATGACTAGGTATTGGTAGAATATAAAAGAAAAAATGTTTGGAAAGTACTTTCAATTTGTGGAAAACACAAATGAGAAGTAAAAACAGTTTTCATTTTTCAACATTATCCAGTCACGAAAACATTGAATACGGTTGTTATGCTGAAGAATTGAAACTACTGTCCGAGCAATTTACAGATCGATTTTCCGATTTTAAGAATATGGATAGCACTTCAATATTTTTGCATATCCTTGTAAGTGTAATGTGGAAGATGCTCTGCTTCACTTACAAATGGAGTTAATCGAGCTTCAAGAATACTCATATTTGAAGTCTAAATTTCATGATGTGGAACTAAGCGAATTTTACAGAACATACCTTTTCCAAGAAAAGTATCTACAGCTGAGAGTTTTTGCACGAAAAATAATTTGCACATTTGGAAGCACGTATAATTGTGAGCAGCTTTTTTCAATCATGAAAATTAATAAAAATAAGCATCGTACTCGGCTTATAGATGTTAATTTAGAAAACACTTTGTGCCTATGTACTAGTGATATTGACCCCAATATTGATCATCTTGTTTCTCAGCTTCAAACTCAATTCTCTCATTGATTTTCATTTGATTTTTCTAGCTTTTTTTATTAACTTGCTTTTTATATGTTTGATTAAGCATAATCATTGTGCTATTATAATTAATAAATTAAAAATGTGTGAATTTTTGTCTCTTTTATTCACTCTACTATCTACTTATTTCTTTCCTACGGCCCGCGACCTAATTAAGCCGAAATTACGCCCTCAGCTAAGCAAAAGTTGCCAATACCTGCTCTACGAGTAGATGAACTAAGCGAAATGGTTGTGCTTGTTTTTGTGTGAAATTTGAGAACAATGATTATATTTTGTAATATTACAATAAGTCGGAGCACGTAATTCATTAGTATCACATGCCACATGAATAAATTTAACAACCCCATGTGGCGTTCTCTAATTTACCAAATTAAGATATATAGCCATGTAAGTAACACAAATAGTAGCCAACTTTTGTCACAGCATGTATTTATTATTATTTATTGTTTTAGAACAAGAAAAGGGCTTCAAAACGTTTGACAAAGATTTGATATAGGAAGAAAAATGTCTGAATTCCCATTATTGAGTTTACACTCAACATTTTTATAAATAATACATTATTGGACATTCGTTCGGAAAGTAGAACAAAAATGTTACTGTTGCAAAAAACGATCAAAAATTAAAAAATATTTTTCATAAATAGATTAGAATAATTAATCGATAATAGACTGATGTAAGTGTAGTATTCCTTTTAATATATAATTTAGCGTAATTAAGTCTTTAAATTTATTTACCAGAACATGAGAGTGCAATCGATATTTATACAACCTTTATTTTCAGGTTTTTAAATTTCCGCTGCGTTATTAGGCATTCCAACGACCTGTCAAAATGCTGACGTTTAGATATGGCAACCCTGTGGCCTAATGTTATTGACAGGGTCCAATGACACATATATCGTTGTATAGATTGCTAAAAGCGGGTCCTTTTGTGAGCGGCCATATTATTGCCTCCCAAGTGCTCATTAATCAGAATCAGTTTAGCAAAAATGTGTTTTAAAACCAATTTTCAGCCTTTGAATATGGTAAAAAAAAATTAACTTAATTTTTACTTCAAGGCATACTCTATATATAACTATCTATTTCATTGACCCTGTCAAATCACTAGGCTTACAAGGTTGCCATAATTTTGCCACATCATAATTTGTCAAAACCACTGATCTGTCAGTGGTCAAAACCCACTGGTAGACATTTTGTTTGGAATGCCTAATTTGTTTGATATCGATGAAAGCGCCACATAAGGTCTTTTCCTTTGCATCGACAGTGTAGCACTGAGCTACGTCACTTCTGAAAATATTGTTCCATCCATGCAATTTGTATAAATGGAACGATATTTTCAGAAGTGGTGTAGCTCAGTGCTACACTTTCGATGCAAAGGAAAAGACCTATATAGTGCGTCGGATGTTAAGTACGTTTGAGCTAGTCGTTGTTAAGCTTGTGCTTCTTATGAGCGTTTCAGAAGATATTTCCAATTGTGAGATTATTTTTACTGATAGTACTGTCAGCAAAATAAAAAGGGGAAGATCAAAAATTAAAGGATTAAGAAATACCATGTTCATTCCCAAATCTTTCTTTAAGCTTGAATTATAATATAAACAATTTGTTATACCTGTGTTTTATTTTGCTCTTCTTAAAATTATATTTAGGCATAATTCAAAAAACTTTAGTTACAAAATATTGTACTTACCAAATTTCATAATTTATTAAATCTTTTCAATTTGGTAGTACCTACCTAATTTGCATATTATATAGATAAAATTAAATAATTTTTCAATTAAAACCCAGACAGCACACCAAATCCTTTGGATATCTACTGAACATCCCAATATCCACTGAATGTCCAGTCCATGATAGATATCTATTTTATATCCATGAAATGTAATTTATAGACATGCAAATGTCCATAAATAATAGTAATTATATAACAAATTATTAAAAAATTACGCCATTGTGGCTAATAGTACCGTTCAGATATTTAAAATTAATTGTAGTCTTCATTTGCCGCGTTTGGGAATCCACATCGAATGCATTTTTATTTACATCTCGAGCGTTTTTTTATCCACATCGGACACGTCTGTCCCATTGTATTTACGTATACTGAATCACGAGATCAAAGATTTACTACATTTCAGATGCATCCGATGTGGATTCTCAAACGCGACAATTACCATTATAGTTAATTGGATGTTTATTGGTCCAAAGTACCTATTTTTCGATAAACTATCAGCTAGTGAAATCCTGATGATATAAACTGGACCACCCTATATAAGATATGTATTTTTTATTTCTTATTTTTTTTTTATAATTTTTATGGTCTCTTGCTATTTGGTAAAAAAATTCTATAGAAAAGCAGTCACATAATCCTTCCTCCATGAGTCACGTAATAAAGAGGAAAGTCAATACTCTAGCTTATTAGGCACCACGAGATAAAAATTATAACAAAGAAGAAGAATTTTAGGTTATGTTATTTTTTTGAAATGGTAAAAGTTAAAATAAGTAATATAAGTACTATATAATTTTAAACACAAAACCTAAACTATAATGTCTAACAGCCATATATTTCTGAAACCTGGTTTCATAAATGTACCACTTCAAAACGGCATAGGTCGATATGTAGGCCAGTTACAAAGGGTGGTTTTAAAATTTTGTAAGAATAATGGATCTAGCCGTGGAATGAGGTAAATCTTAACTATTATGCACAACTAAAATTACAACATTTATTTATTCGTTTTAGGGAGTTTATCGAATCCGATTTAGTAAATTTTGCTAAAAATAACCCTGGTATTGTAGTTTATTTAAAACCTAGAAGACATAGGACAGCTGTGATTAAAGCTGAATACCGTAAGTCTGCTATCTTTGACAAGACAGCCTATTATTAGTACATATCTAGTTTGAACTCTTTTTCGATTATCAAAAACCAAGAACACCTATAGGTATCACTATTTTAAACAAAAACATAAGTTCCCTATCTTTTACAAATATAATAATGACTCATTCATTTTTTAAATACAAATTTGGGCGAACTTGTGATATTTTTGTAATTAATATTAACAATTTTACGTAAAAAGGGTGTGGATAAAACAGTGATAATAGTTTTAATATATGCACCAAAATTTATTCATAATATGTGCATATAAGGTATTTGCCAATGAATACCTTCTATAATCCCTTAGCACAACTTTGAAAACTCCAGACTATCAATGCTAGTTTTGTTTGCTCTAGTGCTGGTTCTCTGTAATTTTCACAGGCATTTGTGCCAAGGAATATTAGAAGGATTCCTTGGCTGATACTGTATATATGCATACTTTTTATTTAAAATATGAACTTATTTTACTCTAATATTAAAAAATATGCAAAATTTATAATAGAAGAATGATTAAAAAAGACATACCTAGGTAAGTAATAATAAAAACTGTTTGTAATATTTATTTGCATAGAAGAAAAAATTAAGTAGAATACATTGCATTAGATATATTATAATAGAGATATAAAAATAAACTTTTCTCAATTTTGGTGCAAGAATGTCATATTCTTGCACACAAAATCATTGAAGAATGAAGCTAATTCCCAAACGATTTTTGGTGACATTCACTAATAATTGCCAGTGGGAAGGGCTTGTAAATCTAAGGGGGTTGCAACATAGCCTTCCATCTTTGATGCTATTTTTATTTTAAATAGTAGTCCCAAGCGTGCCAATTTTTGAAAAATAATATTTTTATTGTGCTCGACATAAAATATTTAAATTTAATCCATTATTTATGATTTCACGTATTGTAGGTAGACTTCATCATATGTTGCAGCCCCTCATGCAACCCTTTAAACATACCGAACCTTATCACCACGTTTCATTTGTTTGGAATGCCTAATTAATTCCACCTGACAGTTGGTTAGTAACTAAGTGTTGCCATCAAAATTGTATTTTCAGGCGGCCTAAATGAAATATTAAGTGTTTTCAAATCGGGACTGTCTCATCTAAATCCGGACGGATGGGGACTTTACTTAAAGGGGCTTTTAAAAATATTTTTTTAACATTCGAAATTAGCTTATTTACCAAGGGGTACTCTGTTCTTACAGCTTCTGCAATTAAATTTATTCCATACATAAGGCAAGTAACATGGACCATATTCTAATAAAATATTAAGTTGTGTCCCACTTTTATCATATACGGTGCTGCATCAGACAAAAACACTTAGAACTTCTCTGATGGAATTGGATTAGGTAAAAATAATTCTGATAAGGATTGTTGAATAAATCGGGTTACCGTCACATTATTAGGCTTTTGCAACTGTTTTGAAGCGATTAAGTGTAATTTTCCTGGTTCAACTTCTTTCATAAGATGTACGAAATATCGACTACAAGTATATGTGCTTCCATCAACAATGATGTAAACATTTTCATCTTGCGCTAAAACTTTATTCTCTTCTGTTACATTTGTATATGATGCATGTATATTTTTTTCTTAGTGTATATTCGTGAGGAATATTGTGATTGCAATATTTTTAACCTTACCTCCTACCTTTCTTTATAGAAATTTTAACACAAGTACAAACGTGTTTATATCTGTACTGTATAAAATTTAGTGTAGCATTGGCCTGGCATGTTCTTTTGCTTTACTAACCTACATGCAAGATGCAAGAGATAGGAATCAGTAGTGGATCAAGCGCTCATGAATGAGGATTCGTCGTAGACAGGAGCAAAAAGATGCTTTAGACATCCTTTAGGACCTGGCATCGATGACTCAGTGTGAGATGTCGATAAAACTCGCTTATGAATGTTTTATTCCAAATTTTTTAGTGTTCAAAACTTAAAAGCGTTTTCCCCACAATTCATGTTTCCAAAGTCGGTGCCCCCCATAACTTCAAAACTACTGCACCCATCCTTTTAAAATTTTGAACACTATTTCTGGACATAATTTACGAGGTAACGCTGAAGAGTTTTTTTTCAAATTTGTTAATATTTTTTTATTTTATAATAACAAATTAGCCTATTTTTTTCGCAAGAATCGCGTTTTTTACTTCAAAGTGTTCCCAAAAAGTGCAAAATTGAAATTTCGAAAAACCCTACCAGCTTTACCTGGGGAAAATGATTATCTAACGAGAGAACTTTGATTTTTTTATTTCTGATGATCCAGCACCGAGTTAGCGCAGGGGCACCGCAATTCTACATTTTCCGAGACGCTTCCGAATAATCGCTACATTTCCGTATTTCTTAATATTTCTACATGGAAATTTGACACAATATTCTTTGAATGTTATATTTTAATGTACCATTAGTTTAAATAAAGAGATTTTAACTGAGTCGTCAAAAAAATTCACAGAAATGTGCCTTTTTTGCACGAATTAACCTTAAGAGAATATTTGCCGCTGCCGCATCAAGAAGTTTGCACAAGTCCTGATTAAAAATCTCCTTGTCACTTCTTTTTTTGTCGACGTTTTGAAAAGACCTAATAATGCATTGTTGAACTGGCTATGATTTAATTTTTTTGCAATTATTAGAATTGAATTGCTGTACCATTTGACAATAAATAATAGGATAGTTAACTTTTGTGCAACTTGGCAACAATGTAAGATGTAAAAGTAGCATCTCTGAGATATTTTGTGTAATATTTTCATTTAAAAAATGTATTGTGTCATTAGTAATTATTAATTTGCACAAGATATTTTTTGTGTACAATAATGATACCTTCAGGCATAGTGAACAGAAGTCAAACTAGATAATGACTAAATTATTTTACAGTTAATGGAGACACCCAATGGTTGAGTTGCAGAAACTTTTCTAAAGACGAAATTTATAAATGGCTCGAATTACTAAGGAAACAACAAAAAAACCACGAGGGTTCTCGCATTAGAAAATTGTGGCATACTGAAAATCCTTCAATACAAGGTCCCTGGACGCCCTTTACTTTTAGAGATCCCAAATTAAATTTAGCCACGTTCCCCGATGAAGAGCTGGGCAAATCCGAAAACGTTGCTTCCACTAGTCAGGATGAGTTAGTGGAAATGTTCAAAAGGCAGAAATTGTTAGAACTTGAAGCAGCCAGCGCTTCAAATTGAGTGAATTGTATTTTATTTTTTTTTTTTTTAGTTATATAGTAGGTACTATTAAATTTATATTGTAGAAATACAATTAAACCCAGAAATATTGTTTTTTATTACCTATTCAATACAATTCTAGAATTTAAATTATTTCGTAACAATAACGACGAAAAAAGTAAAATTTATAGTTACATTTTTCTTGCCGTTTTCATACACAATGTCATACGCCTGGCACCTATCTCTTGCTTCAAAAAAATGTTTTAAATATTCCTCCAAATGTTCCTTAGGAATCCTCGGCAATACAGTATTCACTGATGTTAAAATATCTACAAAAAGTAATAAATAAATTCAAGTTATCAAGCTCATTTATGTAATGGCATGGATAAAAATTAAAAGCCTGTGAATCAACCACAGAGCTAGAATAGATATTGGCTCAATAATTGTGTTTTCATTATTTATATATTTTATTTAAGTAAACAGAACTACATAATACTGTTACACAGCACCCTGCGGTTATTATAGGAAACGTACAGATAGAAAAAGAAGTGGAATGTTATCGCCCTACAGTGTGCCGCGGTCGTCATAAGTAAAAGAAGACAGAATATTCCAGAAGTGTCGGGAAACGTCATTATTTGTCAAGAAAATTCAAGGCATTTCGCGAAGGGTCAAGCAAGCTATATAAGCCGATGATCCTGACAAAGAATACCTACCCAAGAAGCGAAACTGAATTAGTTTTCATATGTATCAAAGCAAGGGAACTTAATACACTGGGAAACGTATGAAAATTAATCAATTTATGTCGTTTGGTTCATAAGAATTAAAGACATACTAAAATAACAATGATAGAAAATTCTTACTATGTTCATTATGTCAAATAGAATATTTCAATAAGAAATAAGTACTGTAGGTACAATAATGACAGTCACTACACAATAGCGAAAGCAGATGACCTGGTCATTCTGCAAATAGGGAATTTTGAGAACAATTATGGAACAGTGGTGCAAGGACCATTTACTGTTTATTAATCCCAAGAACACACAGAAATGTCTTTCTCACAATGAAATGGATGAAAATTGAATTAAAACCTACAGAGCTCCTAAAAACAAAACAAAATTTTGCAGCAGAGGTGAAGTACCTAGGCAGCACATTTGACAACAAGTTAATATACTTAGAAAACAGCGTCAAAAGAGCATACATTACTTAAGAACAATGCCGCCGAACCGTAAGGTGCCCCTGAGGTTTCTCCCCCAGAGTCGTCACATGGACTTACATGGCCATCATAAGACCTATGCTAACACACAGTGCAGTTGTCTGAGTACCGAATATCCAAAATAGAACAAATTCAAATAAATGCATGTCTCAACATAACAGGAGCCATGAAAACCACATTAACCAGAGCCATGGAAGTTATTCTTAGTCTCACTCCCCTTGATAATTATATCAAGAATCCCCTTGATAATTATATCAAGAAGGTTATTCTGAAGACAATGACACACCTCTTCACGGTTGAAATAGAACCTGATGTACGATCTAGTGAGGCGAGACGTCGCTTTTGGCAAAAAGCGCTCGATATACTCATCTCACCGAGATATATCTTCGATAAGCCATATGAAGATACAACAACAAATTGAAGAGCCGGGAGTGGCAGGTACGATTCATATCAACACCGATGGTTCTAAAACCAAACAATGCTCAAGATGTTGAATATAATCCAATTCCTTAAACCTTAATATAAAATGGGCTGTGGACAATAGTGCCAATGAAGTTCAAACCGAGCTCACGGATGTTCTCATAGTAGCAAATAAATCACCAGAAACAATATCACTGGTAGGAACATGCTTATCTATACAGATAAGCACTATTTGTCCTGAACAGACCACGAACTTACTCAGGGTTAGTACTAGAATGTCACGCAACTTTTGAAAGAATATCCGTCCAACAAAGTAGTCACCTTAAGATGGATCAAAAGTGACGCCACATCCAAAGGTAGTCTTCTTGCTGATTTACTTCCCAAGAAGGCGGCCAACCAAATACTTTTTAGGCCTTGCCCTTCTATTGGACTGACAACATCGGTAGTGACAGACCTAATTAAAGAATATTCTCTTGTGAAATTGAAGAAAAGATGGAATGAAACAAGAAACTGCAGAGTTACCAGGGAGCTTTTAAGTTATCCTGGCAACACTACAACAAACAAATACTTGACTATGACTAGACAGAATCTGCGTCTGATCACAGCTATTCTGACTGGTCATTGCCAAGTACGAAAGCATCTTCCTTTCGTGGGGCTGCCAGAATCCTCACCCTGCAGGAGGTGCGACCAAAAAGATGAGATCATTGAGCATATCCTCTACGATTGCCGTCGCTCTAATTTATTAGAAGATTTGTTTTCGGCGAGTATTGGCTAACACCGGCCGATATAAGAGAAGCACCTCTCGGCGACGTTGTCAACTACATTAAAGCTGTAGGCTGGCTCACAATAAGCTGGAGGTGCCTATCATCTTAGGAGGATATACAATGGGCCTAGTTAGACCTAAGTGCCGTGGGGGTAATCCACCCGCCACACGTTGCATATCCAGAAGTACTGTCATATATTTTAATTATTGTTTCGTATTACTGTTTATTTACTCTTTTAAATTGATTGGTTTGAAAAACAAAAAATAACATATTTAAATAAAAGACTAAATAATTAAACGTAGGCGTAAATATCATTATAGGTACTTTTTACTGATTTAGAATTAATAAAAAAAAATTATAGTTAGATGCAAGAACGTTCAATAAAATTTATGAACATGAAATACAAATTTTAAAACTATCTATACTCTGTTTTTAAACTAGGAGAAGCGAATTGAAAAGACGCATTTACACAGGGAAAAGTAACTAGATTTGTTACTAAGAGCGAGTTTCGAAATATAGTCGTATTCAAAATTTATGAAATAATTATCTTTATCGGACTTGGTCGGTGAACGGCCAATGAGCGGTTAAGAAACGAATAAATGTCATAGAAGTAATTTTTTAATTGGTCCCAGACAACGGTCGCAAATTTCACATTATTGTGATCTGAAATGTGTGTCTAAAACGAAATGTCACTGTCAAATTAAAGTCAATATGGTTTTGTTGATTGATGTCAGAAATACTTTTTTCTTGCTTTTGAAATCGACTTTTTGAGAATAACTATGATCTTTTTAAAATGGATATTAAATATTTAAGAAAATTGTTAATGGAACATCCAGATGTAGCCAGGTTAGTATAAAATATAAAGATCTGTTTACATTTTTAAGGATATATTTGTTATAGGTATAAAAAGTAAAAGTTAATCAGTGAATGACAAGTGGATCACACAGTAACTGGTATCTCTTCTATGAGTAATGTGGATATTATGGCTTATTTAGTGTTAACCCATGGTTAATGCGCTAGAGGGCAAATAAAGGCATTCAAAAGTTTACAGGCCTGAGTCAGAATTTGTTTTGAAAACTGGAACCAACATTTTCACTGCATGTCAACATAAATTTTTTAAAGTGATCTATTCATACATACATATGTATTAATTTTAAGTATTTTTAAAATATTTTTTGTGTAAGTAATGTTAACTCATTGTGCCAAATTAAGATTATCCCTAAAGTAGTAGATGGTGTTTTAAATGTTATAACAATTTTGTAAATAGTTTCATTCTATTCTAATAAATAAAATTTGCTTGAATATTTAAATACATTTTAATCATTTTCGTTAGAAATTCATCAATTTTTAGTTTTAAAAAATCAGTAATAAAATTATTTTTTTCTAAAATACTTCGGAATTCATCTCTTCATGGTAATCTTCCATCTTTTTACCTTCAAAAACCAATAATGCATTTTCTACAAAACCTTCAAAATCAGCATGTAAAATAATAAGGTGTCTTCCCTTTCTTGTAAGGCTTTTCAGGAATTGCTACCTTTAATATTACTCAGTGTAGAAGGATCCATAATTTTAGATTTTCAATACAATTGCTTACTGAAGAACTATTATTTACGAAATAAAGTAAAAAACTATGTAATGGATGAGATATCAAATTATAAAATGTCAGAACTGTCAACAATATCAATTATTAGCTGATGTTCATGCTAAAAAGTAATGTGTGAAACTGACTGTAATCTAACCAATCAGAAGGCTACAGAATTGCCAACTTAAATTCAAATCGCTCCTCTTAGTTTAAAAACAGAGTATAATTTCTAATTACTACTTAGTTAAATACAACTACTTAACTATACTGCAATTTTCACAAAAGGCTAATAATAATATACCAAACGTTGCTCTACATACATTGACAGCATATTTGACGTTAAACTACCTCTAAAACACTGAGAAAACTTGGCAGTTTTTTGTCCACGAATCGCCCATTTAGTTTCGCTTCTTGGGTAAGTATTCTTTGATCCCGACGTCAGTTTTCAGTTTTATGATAGACGTTGCATGTTAATGTTATCAGTTGTATAATTGTTGTTAAAGTTGAGTTGAAATAAATTGCGATACCAAAAACCTGCGTAACAATACTAATAAATTTGACAACGTGGCTTTTACAATTAGTATGGATCTGTACATGATCTAAATAACAAGCAGTTTTCACAGTCTATCCAGCATTTGATCTTGTATAGCCAAACGACATATTTGTTCAGAAAAACTATATTTTTCCAGCAAAACTATAGGGTTGCCAGGGGGGGGGCTACTCTTTAAGGCCCCAGGCCGCGCGCGCCTCCTCAAAAATACCGAAGAATAAAATTTTAATTAAAAATATTTAATTGTTTATTTTATAATTTTTCCTATCATCTCGACACATACTATGAGTTATTTATTATGTCCCCTCCAAATCCTTCCTATAATGTTTATGAAATAAAACTAAAATACATTTCTGATATATTACTGTCATATTTCTGAAAGGTTCAAAAAAATTTATTCCTGAAATAATACATTAACAGGACAGTTTTACATTTCAGGAACATTCCAGAAATGTTTCTGGAACGTTTTGTAATATTTATGCAACATTACAAATATTTCAATGTTACATTTTTAAAATATTTCTGAAACGTTTTTGTGCTGTATGGGTTGGTGCCATGTCAACTGTTTAGGGGCA